AGAAACAAGGAAGGCTGAATGTGTGGTCCAGGCTAGACTAGCAGAAGAGAAACAAGGAAGACTGAATGGGTGGTCCAGGCTAGACTAGCAGAGGAGAAACAAGGAAGAATGAATGTGTGGTCCAGACTAGAGCAGCAGGGAGAAACAAGGAAGACTGAATGTGTGATCCAGGCTAGACCAGCAGGGAGAAACAAGGAAGACTGAATGGGTGGTCCAACTCATGAGAGCAGCTCCAGCAACTGTCCTTAGTTCTCTCGATTCTGCAGAAATCATAGCAAACCCCGGGCATCACTAAAGCACCTGGAGCATGTAGTTTGCTCAAAGTAGGAAGAGGCTTTCCAAAGGAAAAGGGACCTATGCCCAAGTCTGCCTGCCTCTGCCTCCTGAGTGCTGGGATTAAAGGCGTGCGCCACCACACCAGGCTTTTCCACTCATCTTGAAATTCCCTTCCCCATCACAAATTCCTATTTCATGCAATTACTTCCAAAAATTTACTTTCAGGAGGCTCACCAATCAGACATGCAGGTAAATGTGTTTACTAGTAGTGCAATTTCCAAAGTTGAGCATTGTGCAGACTTAACAGAAAAGACCTTGTCCCTGCTCAATTCAGAGGCATAGGCATGTACAGCAGGTTTTGAAAGATATTCTGGGGATTATCAGGACATTCCTTTTCCTACAGTCATAGAGATAACACCCAACCTAGCATACCAACATTAGTTAGTAGTTGGTAGACTAGGCTTCATCTTAACCATAATTTCATTTGAACTTAATTACAACTGCAAAGACCCTGGTTATAGTAAAATCTCATTCTGAGGTTCTTGGTAGACAAAAATTTTGTAGGTCTACCATTCCACCCAGTCCAGCAGCTCTAAGGTCTCCTGTGGGACCTCTCTCCTCTGAGCCCTGTCTGACAATCTCTTCAATACTACACCAAGTTAAGCTATAATTCTAAAGAAAATATTTTCATAGTAAGCTGTGAAGCATGTAAACAGTCCACTGTCAGAGTGCCAATTGTACTTTACCACAAAAAGATTTTTGCATCTCTCCTCAGCTTACACAAAATTCTGGAGAAAAAAGTACCCTCTCGTTCAGCACTGTTTCCACTAATCCAGACGGAGGCTCCATAGATTCAGATGCTACTTTAACTGTGCTTTATCTGGAATTGACATTTTTAGATGACTCGGCACCAAACAAAACATCACGTGTACTTATGTTAGAAGATTTTTGTCTGGGCGCCGGTGCACACGCGTGTCTGTGCGTGTGGAGGTCAGTGGTGGACTGAAGCATCGTTTTCAATGGCTTATTTTTGAGATAGGATCTGTCACTCAGCCTGGAGCTCCCCATGCACCAAGGCTAGCCGGCCAGTGAACTTTGGGGGGGATCCGCCTGTCTCCACCTCCCCAAGGCAGGTTTTGAATTCAGACCTTAGGATCCGTTTCTAGGACCGCTGCGGGAACAGTGAAAGTCAGTCTCTCCTGAGCAGACTCTATCTTGCGTGTTTACTGCGGCGATTAAACGTCAGGACAGACGTCCAACACAGACAGAACTGCGGAATGAGCCAGAGTGTTTGCGTTCCCGCCTCCACCCCTAGGGGTGGGAAAGAGCCGCCCGCGCAGGCGCCCCAGGCCGCTGGGAGGAAGGACCCGAAAGGCTCCGCCCCCTAAGGTGTCCAGCGCGCCTGACCGCCTGGGCCTTCCGCGCCCTCCCCGGACCCCCAAACGAGAGCGTCTGCGAGGAAGGCTACGGCGTCAGGCTTCTCCTTGGCCAGCTCGGGTCCTCAGCCACGCGAGGACCCCGCCCCGCCCCCGCGCCGAGGCTAACTCTCGCCCCGGCGGACTGTCTGACGTCTTCACGGTCTCTCCGCGATGCCGCTCTACGAGGGCCTGGGGAGCGGCGGCGAGAAGACGGCGGTCGTGATCGACCTGGGAGAAGCCTTCACCAAGTGAGTGGCCGTGGGGTGGCTGCGGGGCCCCAGGGGAGGGCGGGTGGCCGCGGCCCGGCAGCCGGGGGTAGGCCCGCTGGGCTGGGCAGCCGGGACCTTCCCCCGCCGCCCGCCGCCCTTGTTGCCTCGAGGCGAAGCTCGGTCCTCAGTGACGGGGTGTCGTCTAGGAGGACTCTCGGGCCGATCCGGTGGGCCGAGAGGCCCGGGAAGCTTCGGGAGCCGCCCTCGCCCACCCCGCCTAAGATGATCAGGGGCCATCGCTGCAGGGTTTGACAGCGATGCCCCCGGAGTCGGCTTTCTACCTCTGGCTGGGTCAGATGGGAAAGCCGAGGTCGAGCTGTAAGGCTTGCTGACTCTTTCCGTCATAAAACATGTATGGAGTGGGGAGCCCTGTTGGTTCCTACCCCAAGAGTGTAGGAAACCCTGCTCCTAGGAAGACCAGGCGCATGAAGACGTGAAACCGTATAGGTAAGACTGGACATCGTGTTGGTCACCTAACCTAAACTCTTAGACCACAGTTTGCACTTTAAAAAAAACATTTTGTAAACACTGGAGTAGTGGTCCTCAAAGATGCAGAGACCTCTTTCAAGGGCACAGGTGAAAGACACAGATACACAAACCTTAGAACTTTTGGACAGTGTCGGGGTTGCTGGAAAGTTTTGAGGCCTTTGGACCGTCCATTTCAGAGGCCCTGTATTGGACTCAAGAGAAAACACAGAATTATATCACATATATGCATATACAAGGTGATGTTATATTTGAAATGCATATTCGGCTCAAGAGAAAACTGACAGAATTACATCATACGCACACACATGTATGTATATATGAGGTGAATTTATTTATGAATAGAGATGCTTGAAATATTTCTTTACACATCTGTAAGCACTGTCTCACCTGAGTAAATATCAAGTAACTACTGAGTAAACAGCCACAGGAACATACTTAAAAATTGCCCCTTAGGAGTTACAGAATTGGATTGTACATAGTTCTTGATTATTCTCTTTCTCTACTTGGCCCTCTCATATTCATATTTTATATTTTTAAAAACAATGTGGTAAGTACTTAGAGATTACTACCTGGAAATAATTATTTTGGCTATACATTGGAAAAATAAATTATTATGTAGGAATATAATTAAACACATCGTTTAAGAATGATGTCAAGGAGAGCTTAAACTACCCCAGTACATGTGTCTTGAGGACTTTGAGGAGCACTGAGTGTAAATAACATGGAGATAAGAATGGAGAAAAGCTGGAGAGAGAAGCTGGGTGGTGGTGGTGCGTGCCTTTAGAGGCAGCAGGATCTCTGTGAGTTCGAGGCCAGCCTGGTCTACAGAGTGAGTTCCAGGACAGCCAGGGGTTTAAAATAAAAAAAGGAATGGAGAGAGAGAGAGAGAGAGAGAGAGAGAGAGAGAGAGAGAGAGAGAGATAGATAGATACCTGGGCACAGGAGAACAGTATAAAAAAGTACCCTGAAGAACAAAAGGTGTGATTTAAGCGTAAATTTGCATTATAATCATTTTTACAATTTTTTAAACAAAATTTGTTTTACTAACACAAAAGAGATATGGCACTGGCTACTGATTTTTCTTTTTCTTTTTTGGAAACATGTCTGATGTAGCCCAGGTTGGCCCCAAACTCATGATCCTACTCTCTCTGCCCTCCTGAGTGCTGTTACTGCAAATATGCCCAGTATGCTTGGCTCAAATACTAATTTTTAAAAGGATAGAATATATAGTTTTAAAAAATTAACACCTGGGCCAGGGCTGGAGAGATAGCTCAGCAGTTAAGAGCACTGGCTGCTCTTCCAGAGGACCAGGGTTCAGTTCCCAGCAACCACATGGCAGCTTACAGTTGTCTGTAACTCCAGTTCTAAGGACCTGACACCCTCACACAGACATACATGCAGGCAAAACACCAATGAATATAAAATAAAAATAAATAACAATACCTGGGCCAATGAGATGACTCACCCAGTAAAGGTTCTTGCTGCCAAGTCTGAAAACCTGAGTTCAGTCTCAGGACCCAGAGTAGAGGGAGAGAACCAACTCCCACAAGCTGTCTTCTCACCTCCTGTGTCCACTGTATCACGGCCACACACATCCACACAGTAAACAAATATTAATAAGAATCATAGCAATGCTATTGTGAGTGTAAGCGTGTTTGATCTCACAGCGTATGAAGTTATTTTAACTGTAGATTCACATAGTTTAAGAAATAGCCTTGGGGCTGGAGAACTGACTCAGGGAGGGAGAGCACTTGCTACTCCTGCAGAGGACCTGGGTTCAGGTCCCAGCACCCACAGAGTGCCTCACAACCATCCTTAACTCAAGTTCCAGGAAAGCTAATGACCTTTTCTGACCTTGGTGGGCACCAGGCATGCATATAGTGAACATACACACACACACACAGGCAAAGCACTCATACACATAAAATAATATATATATATATATTAAAAAGAACAGTCTTGAGAAGTAGCATGCTAGCAGTTACTTTATTAGCAATAGTGCTTTATTATTTATCAATGTTGAAGCTAATAACAGTAGAATTATAAAATTATTGATAGTGTGTATGTGAATCAGTCATGTGTCATATAGTGACCATATATATGATGTCATGGTTTTTCATTAACATGTGGGTTGTCATTGACCAGAGTTTCTTTATTCTGAATGATTGTAGTTCCCGTTATTCCATGTTTTCATACATTTAGCTGTACAAATACTTAAAGTATTAGAGTTAGAGTTGCCTGTAGTATTTAGCATAATAACATGTTATAAAAGTGTGTAGTCTAACAACAGTCACACACAGCTGTGTTTTTAGGTTTATGTAAGTACACTCTTACAATGCTACAGAGTAACTAAATCACCTACCAATGCCCTTCTCGTATCCTCTCACATTTGAAGGAAGTCACATGGTGTATATGCAGGGTTGTAAAAATAAATGAGACACTGGCTTATTCCGGTGTAACAGATTTGATATCCTTTGCTTCTTCCTTTAGCGTGTTATGAAATTATCAATAGGTGTTAATATCTTTTTAGATTTTTGTCCTTTGACCCTTTAAGTGCAGCAGAAGTATCTCCAGATGTTTTGTCGCCATTGTTTCTCTGGCAGATATTTAGAAAGAATGTTATAAGTCGAGTGTTTAATTTTCCATTTCTTTGCAGGTGTGGATTTGCGGGAGAAACTGGCCCACGATGTATAATTCCTAGTGTGATAAAGAGAGCTGGCATGTCTAAGGTATTTTTTTTTTTAAACAAATCAGAAAACTATGGGGTAGCAGGATGGCTCAGTGGTTAAAGGTGCTTGTAGAGCAAGCCTGGCAGTTGAGGTCAGCCCCGAACCCGTGTGAAGGAGGAAAGAGAGAACCAGTTCCACAAAGTTGCCATCTGACCTCCACACAAGTGCTGTGACACTCACACTCATACATCATGTATGCACGCCCCTGCACTCATGCACAACCCACCCCACACTAGTATTAATAAGATGTGCAAATTAGAAAAATAAGGTAAAATAAATATAATTTCAGGAGAATTTCTTGTGAGTTTTTTGTGTGTATGTTTTGGCTAGCTGTCTCTGCATCCTGAGTGCTGGGATTAAAGAGTCATCACCATCACTGCCGGTTGAGTGTTTTGTTTTTGTTTTTTAAATCAACTTTATTGAGGTCTATCTAATTTTATATGACATGAATTTAGTCATCATGTGCAACAGCCATATAATCCAGGGAATGAACCAGGTCTAGAATATTTGAGGAGGCCTTTGCTGCTTTTTGTTTTTAAGATTTTTTATTTTTATTTTATGTGTATGTGTGTTTTGCTGCACGCATTCAAGTCCACTTCATACATGCAGTGCTCCTAGAGGCAGAGAGGGCGTCAGATCCCCTGGCACTGCCATTACGGTTGTGAGCTAATTATGTGCTTGCTAGGAACCAAACCTGGGTCCTCTGCAGGAGCAGCCAGTGCTCGTAACTGCTCAGCCCTCTCTCCAGCCTTTTCCTGCTTCAGTTTTTATCATCAGTCATGCCCAGATGTTTTTTTAAAAAAGCTTATAAACACAGCACTGTGTATTTACTTATAGATGTATGTTCCTATTTCTTACAATTCAAATTGCCATTTTTTTAGCCATTGCCAGTTATTTGGAATTCCTAACACTTTTTTGAGGGAGATTTGTTTTGTTTTGGGGTTTTTTTGTTTTTGAGATAAAGTTTTATGTATCTTAGGTTAGCTTTAAACTCTGATGACCTTAAATTGGGATCCTCATGCCGGTTTATAGGCATGTGCCACCACAGCGAGTTTTATATATTTATGCCATGTTTGGGCTCTATATATGCTATGTAGGTCTGCTAACTGAGCTACAGGTGTAGCCCAAGGTTAATTGTTCTTGATATCTATATCATTAATATGAATCCATTTATTATGAGGAAATATATTAATAAAAAGCATAAAAAGATTGTTTATTAATAAAATAAATCATTTTAATTTTTTACAGCCAATCAAAGTTGTTCAGTATAATATCAATACAGAAGAATTATATTCCTACTTAAAGGAATTCATCCACATATTGTATTTCAGGTAAGCTGAAACTTTACTTCAGGGTTGTTTTTCCTAACATCAGCAGTTAGGTAGATTGTTTTTTTCCTCTAATGCCAGTTGAAGGGATGTTTGGTTATAGTGCATCTGATGCAAAAAAGAAAGTTGGATTCTATTGCCAATTTAGTTTATCTTCAACCTTTTGAAATTTTAAAATTGTTTTTAAAAGTTTATGTGTGTACATGTGCATGTCTCTAGGCACTTGAGTGTCAGGGCATGTGTATGGAGTCAGTTGTCTCCTTCCATGTCTGTCCCATGGGTCAAACTCGGGCATGTCAGCAGGTGCCTTCACCCATGGAGCCATCCCGCAATTCCTCTCTTCAACTTTTGGAAAGACATACTTGAAGATTAGGAAATTCAAAACCATAAGAAAACACTGAAGGCAAATCAAGTGTCCAGCAATAAAAGGGATTAGGCTTGGAGAGATGGCTCAGAGGTTAAGAGCACTGGCTGCTCTTCCAGAGGTCCTGAGTTCAATTCCCAGCAACCACGTGGTGGCTCTCAACCATCCATAATGAGATCTGGTGCCCTCTTCTGACCTGCAGGGATATGTGCAGACAGAACACTGTATACATAATAAATAAATATTTAAAAAAAAATAAAATAAAAACTTAAAAAATTAAAGGGATTTTTAGGTAAATAATGGATATCCATATGGTGAAACATGCAGTCACTATTAGGGCTGAGACTCTTTGCTCAGTGGTAGAGCACTTGCTTATTAGTATGCTCAAAGTTCTACATTCTGCCCTGAGCAAGGGGTGGGGGGGGTTCGGTATGGAATATCTGTATGGAGTGATTCAGAAGAGTAAGGTGTATTGAAAAGTGAAAAAACACATCAAAGAACAACTGTGGATTGTGCATTTCTTCATAAATGTTCGTACTCCTCTCTAAGAGTGAGAAAACAATACGAAGTATTTCTTGTGCTTTCTGGACAATCCATCTATTAGGCTCTCGTGGTTTTCAAGTTAATGTCCGTAGCAACTGGAGTTTTGCGAGCCTCTGCTACTTTTGCAAATCTAACGAGAAAATACCTGTCTAATGGCTACGGTGGTAATGATAATGCTGTAGGTCCTGCTGCAGTGCTTGGCCTACTCTAAGAACTCAGAACATCATCTTCCTGGAGTAGTAAAATGAAGATGTCTTTTTGTCATAAAGCGTCTTAAGATACGGTTGTCCAGTTTATTCTTAAATTGCATTACTTATCAAAAAAGTACAGATCTGTATTTCCTTTTAAAAAACAAAACTATCATTTTTTCAGGCATCTGTTGGTGAATCCCAGAGACCGCCGGGTTGTGGTTATTGAGTCAGTATTATGTCCTTCCCACTTCAGAGAGACACTTACTCGTGTTCTTTTCAAATATTTTGAGGTACCTACTTTTATTTTTTATGTGTATATGTTTGTGTACGCATGTGTATGTGAGTATTTGTAGAAGCCAGAGGTCCAGTGTTTTCCTTAATCATTTTTCCATCTTACTTTTTCATTTATTTTTGACAGTTTTGAGGTCTTATGAAGCCCAAATTGACCTCAGACTTGCTTTATAGCTGAGGATGACCTTGAACTTTTGGTCCTCCTGCCTTGACCAAGCCTCCATCATCTGCATTGCTTTCGATGTCTTCTAAGAGCCTACAGAACAACCCATTTGAGCTCTAAACACTCAGTGGCTTTTCTAGCTCCAAGTTCCAAAGTCCTTCCAGTTCATCACAGCAATACCCTATAAGCCTGTTACCAGCTTCTGTCTTAGTGTCGGTTTCTGTTGCTGTGATGAAAGCAACCATGATGGTTACAGTTCCTCACTGAGGGAAGTCAGAGCAGGAACCTGGAGGCAGAGCTTATTCAGAAGCCATGGAAGGATGCTGCTTACCAGCTTGCTCTCATGGCTTGCTCAGCCTACTTATAGAACCCAGGACTTATAGTCCACAGTGGGCTGAATCTATCCATGTATGCACCACCGTGCACTCCCACCCCCATCAATCATTAAGTTAAAACGTGTTCTACAAGCTTGCCTACAGCCTAATCATATAGAGGCATTTTCCCAATGGCGTTCCCTTTCCCAGGAGACTCTAGCCTGTGTCAGCTTGACATGAAATTAGCCAGCACATGCCTTCACCTCCAAGTGCTAGGATTACACATGGACCTGACATCTGTTTTTATGCAGTGCTGGAGATTGAACCCATGGCTTCATGCACACTAAGTAAATACTCCTACCAGCTGAGTCACATCCCTAGCCTCTCTACCTTAGTTTTCAAAACAAGATCTCTCGTGGGTTCAGTTAACCTGACTGGCCATGAAGTCCCTGCTGTCTCCTCTCACTGGTATTACAGGAGTGTGCCACTGCACCCAGCTTTATTTATATGGCTCCTAGGGTGATCTGAGCTCAAGCACTTTTCTGAGGAGACACCTCCCAACTCTTTGAGATGCCTATTTCTTTATTTATTGGGTTTTTTTGAGACAGGGTTTCTCTTTGTAGTTTTGGTGCCTGTCCCAGATCTCACTCTGTATACCAGGCTGGCCTCCAACTCACAGAGATCCGCCTGGCTCTGCCTCCCGAGGGCTGGGATTAAAGGTGTGTGCCACCACCGCCCGGCCAAGATACCTATTTTTAAATAAAATTTATAAATTGTTTTTAAGTAGAAAGAAGGCTGAAGGATAGCTCAGTGGTAGGGCATTTGCGTGGCATGTACACTGTTCATAAAATAAATCTTACATATTACATTTTAAGGAAATGTTTAAACCAAGTCCGAATTTTATCTCATAAAATGGGAGGTCCCGGGAAGGGGAATACCTTCCTTTAGTAACATTGCTTGTAATCTTCATTTTAGAAGAACAGGAACCAGTGATGCTTTTTGGGAGGTGGAGGCAGAACAGTAAAGGGCACCTCTGTACATAGTGAATTGGAGGCCAGCCTAGGCTACTTGAGACCCTGTCTGAGGGAAAAAAAAAAAGTTGATTCCATGTAAACATTTTTATATGTTTTACCAAAGTCAAAACATACTTAATACTAAAAACACCTTGGGAGGGTGACTGGTTGTCAGTCATTTTGTACGACAAGTCTGAAGAAACAAGTCCTCTAGCACTGCCCTCCCCGATGCCATGACTCGAATTCACTGCAGTGGAAGACAGCAGAGTAGGAAGGCAGGTCAGCTCTTAGCTGAGGGAAGAAGTCTGCGTGCGGGTACACTGAAGGATTTCAGTGGCTTTACATTGGTATCCTTATCTTATATGACTAGAATACCTTCTCTATGTAAGTAATAATAATCTGGGGACTGGAGGGATGGCTCAATGGTTAAGAGCATTGACTGCTCTTCCAAAGAACCCAGGTTCAATTACCAGCACCCACATGGCAGCTCAAATTGTCTGTAACTCCAGTTGAAAGAGATCTGGCACCCTCACACAGACATACATGCAGGTAAAACACCAATGCACATAATTTTTTTAAATGAAAAAAAAATAATACAGCTATTTTTTGTCTGTCATGTGATTATAAAAGACTTTCATATTTTGATCAAATATCTGTGCTATCACCAAATCTAACAAATTCTCACTGACAAAAATAAAGTGTTAAGGATTGTAGTTTATAGTTTTGCTTTTCCATTTATACTGCTATGTTATGATGGGATTTAAAATTTTTTTTTTTATTTTTTTATTTTTTATTTTTTTTTGGAGACAGCGTTTCTCTGTGGCCTTGGCTATCCTGGAACTTGCTCTGTAGACCAGGCTGGCCTCGAACTCACAGAGCTCTGCCCGCCTCTGCCTCCCAAGTGCTGGAATTCAAGGCATATGCCACCACAACTGGGCTGGTTTTAAATTTCTTCTAAGTTTTTATTATTATTGTGTATATGCACATGATGATGGATGGCCATGCCACAGTTTCAGTGTGGAGAACAACTTTGGAATCAGTTTACTTTTATGTGGGTTCCAGGGGTCAAACTCAGGTCTCTGGGCTTGTGCTACAAGTGATTGTACCTGCTGAACCATTTTTTCAGCCCCTGGTGTTTTAAAAATATAGTTCATAGTGCAAACTTTGCAAATAATGATATAGCATATTCCTATAATCTCAACACATTGATGTAGGATCAGCAGTTAAGGTTATCCTCAACCACATAGCAAGTTCAAGACCCTGTGAGGACTGTTGATGCATTGCAGTGGTTAGAGGTGCCTGCCCTTAAGCCTGGCAACCTGAGGAGTTTATTCAGTCCCCAGGACCTATATGGAAGAGGGAGAGAACTAATTTCCACAAGTTAGCCTCTGACCTCCACATGTTTGCTACACACGCACACATGCATTCTCTCTCTCAATTTTAAAAGGGAAAAAAAAAAGACAGCCTGAGCTACATGAGACTCTTGTCTTAAATAAATTAGAATTGTTTCCTAAAGCTGGGCGTAAGAGTACATGCCTGTGACCCCAGCCCTTGAGAGTGAGCACGAGGTCACTGCAGTTCACCCACAGCCTGGCTGTCTTACCCTGCTCCCCAAAGGGAAGGAAGAAGAGGGGGAGGTAGGGAGAGGTGGGGAATTCTTTCCAGTATTATCATCTGGATGGCAGAGGCACCAATTTTTTAGTAGCATCTTCCCCTGACTACATTTTTCTAGGCTTTTATCTCTTTCAATATTCAAATTCAAAAAAGGTAGTGTTGGGCTGGAGAGATGGCTCAGAGGTTAAGAACACTAGCTGTTCTTCCAGAGGTCCTGAGTTCAATTCCCAGCACCCACATGGTGGCTGAAAACCATCTGTAATGAGATCTGGCTCCCTCTTCTGGCCTGCGGGGATACATACAAACAGAACACTGTATACATAATAAATAAATAAATCTTAAAAAAAAAAAAAAGGTAGTGTTGATAAAAATGCTTCAGAATTGTCATTTGGAATGAAACAACCTAGTTAAATTACTTCTGTTGATTGTGATATACTTTATTGAGTAAATTCATCTAAATCAGAAAGCTAGTTCTTCATTTAACACCAACAATACATATTTTTTTGTTCAAAATGTTTAAACAATATAAATCAATGCATTCTACCTATGAATGTTTCCAGTATATTTCAAACGAATCAGATGTCTTTAAACAGTGAACTCAGCCCTGGTCTCTGCTGCTTTGTTTTCCAGGTCCCATCTGTCTTACTTGCTCCAAGTCATCTAATGGCTCTCCTGACCCTGGGGATTAATTCTGCTATGGTCCTGGATTGTGGCTATAGAGAAAGCCTGGTGCTGCCCGTATCTTTTCATCAATGAGCTCACGTTGCGGGGGTTTCCACTCATTTTAACTAAAGTAATTGGGGTTATAAGAATGATTTTTGTTATTGAAGTATTTCAGTTTACTGTGTACAATACAAGTTATCATGTGATAAAGTTCATAGACTTGTAAAACTTCAACTTCTTGTAGAAGTTATCACTATGATTCAGTCTTAGTTTATGCTCTAGGAGCAGATCTAATCAATATTATGTTCGGTTTTCAAGATGCATTATCAGCTAATGAGGATAATTAAATTCTAAGACAGGAAGTCATACAAAGAATAATTGGGCAAACCAAAATGAGAAAGTTAAACTAAGAAAAAAAATTTAAATGGTAGAATGAAATTGACCTTCATTATAGAAAAAATGCATTTTTTTTTTCCTATCTGTGAACATTGGGTTAATGAGCTAGGACAGGAAAGGACAAATCTAGGCTGTGCTTCTTTACAGGGTACCACTCAAGTAGCTTACACTCTTGGCCTCAGTTTCCATATCTATAAAATAATAATGATATCCCATCTCATGGAAATGCTGTGTGTCTTTTAATGTAGGACCTGACATGTAGTTTATATCATCCAATAAGAGACAGCTAATAATTCGGGCTGTCACAGAGTATTACTACTGGTTTTATAAATAGGTATATTCCTTTCAATATAAACACTTAAAATATAGATGGACACTTTATAGTATAGTCACAGTAAATGTTGCAGTGTTGAAAATGTAGTTAAAGTACATGAACATAAGGCTAGCAGTTTTGAGACCTAGATTTATATAAGAAGAAATGTTTACTGGAGGGAAATAACTGTTAAGCAGTAGTTTTTCAAATATGAAGTACTTTGTGTTTAGTTCTCAAAACAGTCATGGCCCGTAAGTACTATTCTTTTCATATACATAAGAAAATTGAAAGTTAGGGTGAGTTTCTATAAGCATTTGGTTAGGCTATACACCTGTGTTTGTGTCCAGAACTGACACACTCATCATATTCTTTTCCCTTTATAAGTATTGCACTTACCGAATGTTAACCAAAGCAGTGTGTGAAGTGAGGCAATAGATGCATAGTTTGCTCTTGTGCGCTGTCCTTGCAGCTCAGCCAGTGGAAATACAGGGTGGGCCACATGTGGAATTTAAAAATACCTAAGAAATCCTTATAAATTAAAGCAGCAAAGTTAATAGCATACTTTATTTAGCCCAGTATATTAAAAAATATTATTTCTCTGTGTAATCAATATAAAAATTATGATATAATCCAAGTATTTTTTCACTTATTAAACTTGTGAATTTGCCTTGGGCTCTTAAAGACGTCAGAGCTCTGAGCAGCTGAATTTTAAGCACTCAACAGGCCTATATTGCTAGTGGCTTCCTTGTTGGGTGCCTCTGCCTAATTAATGAAGGGTGATAGGTGCCTGCCTGTGCACACTGAAGTCTGTTTTCTTTGGTGAACACTATGTAAAAGACTTGCTCCTAACTTTTCTGTAACTTTGAAAATAAGAAGTAATAACTTACCACCAAGGTTGATTAGAACAGTATGGTAGAGGGTGGTGTAACTACCAAGGAAACATTGTATCTCCTAAGATGGTGATGGCCTTGACTATGCTCTAGATATATGAAGGCATCCCAGTACTGAACTGCTGGGGAGCACTCCCCTTAGGAGGAAAAGCTCTTCACAAGTAAGTTTCTTGGATGTTTTCTCACCAGTGCCACAAAAGCCAGTGTTTAGAATTTGATTTTTAATTTATTCTGTTCTCTTTTAGATTTGAATGCATCATCAGATTTTTTTTTTTTTTTTGAGATTTATATAATTATAACATTTCACCCTTCTCTTTTCTCCCTCCAGTCCCTCCCATCTACTTTCCCCTCCTTCAGATTCATGGCCTCTTTTTTCACTATTGTTATTACATATGGTGTGTGTGTATGTGTGTGTACATACGTACGTATATATTCCTAAATATAACCTGTTGAGTCCTTATACTGTTATCTACCTGTATGTATGTTTTCAGGGCTGTCCATTTGGCACTGGACAACAACTGGTGTGCTCTTCTCTGGGGAAGACCACCTCTCCAGCTCCCAGCTTTCCTCAGTTGCCTGTAGTTCTTTGTGTAGGGTTGCGGCCTTGTCCACTTTGGCATGCCCAGTGATACTATCTTTATTCAGCTCACATTTGGGCAGTCCTTTTGTTCAGACTATGGGTGAACTTCTGGTATTACTGAGACACGATCTCCCAGCAAGTGCCGGGTCCTCTTTATCTTCACAGTCTCTCGGACCCTCTCCTGCAGTGTTTCCTGAGCCCAGGTGCAGGAGTGTTTTGTAGGTGTGTCCACTGGGACTGGACGCCACAACTCTACATTTTGATTGGTTGTGGTTTTTCTGTAGTGGTCTCTGTGTCTTGCAAAGAGAAGTTTCCTTGATGAGGGGTGAGGACTACAATTCTACCTGAAGATTCGGAGTCAGGAGCCTCCTATGAGAGAGAACGTTACATTGTTTTTCTGGTTCTGGGTTACCTCACTCAATATGATCTTTTCTAGTTCCATCCATTTACCTGCAAAGTTTATGATTTCATTTTTCTTTACAGCTGAACAGTATTCAGTGTATTTTCTTTATGTCTACGCTTTATCTAGTATACATTACCACATTTTCATTATCCATTTGTTGGTTAAAGTATATTTCCCTTGTTTCCATTCTCTCCACTCCCACTCCTACCCCACCTCCCGAGACAGGGTTTCTCTGTGTAACAGTCCTGGCTGTCCTGAAACTCACTCTGTAGACCAGGCTGGCCTCGAACTCACAGAGATCCGCCTGCCTCTGCCTCCTGAGTGTGCCACCAGGCCTGGTTTATTTCCATTTCCTGGCTATTGTGAATAGAGCCACAGTGAATGAACATGGCTGAGCAAGTATCTGTGGGCCAGGAAGTGGTATAGCTGGGTCGTATGGTAGATTTATTTTTAGCTTTTTGAGAATTCTGCACACTGATTTCTAGAATGGCTCCTCCACTTTGCAGTCCCAGCAACAGGGAAAGAGGGCTCCCTTTTCTCTGCACCCCGACCCACATTCCATGGCAGTCCTTTTGTTGATGTTTGCCATTGTGTCTGGAGTCAGACAAAATTGGCTCAGAGTTGTTTGGATTTGCATTTCCTGATTGCTAGGGATGAGGAACAGTTTTTGAGATATTTCTCAGTCATTATTTTCCTTCTTTTGAGAACTCACTGGTCAGGTCCCAGGCCCATTATTTGAATGAGCCATTCAAATGCCTAAATAGTTATTTGTATGTTCTGGATATTGCTCCCCTGTAAGATGTATGTATAGGTGGCAAAGATTCTGTGTGCTCCCTCTTCACCTGGTTGATTCTTTTGCTGTGCAGAAGATTTCTTTATAAATAAAGTCCTATTTGTCATCTGTTGGCCTTAATTCTTAGGCAAATAGAATCCTGTTCAGGAAGTCCTCTCCTGCACCTCTATTCTGTAGGACACTGCCTGTGTTTTCTTACAGCAGTTTCAGGGTTTGAGGTTTCACGGTTAGGTCTTGGATCCATTTGGAGGTAGTTTTTTTGGCCAGGTGGTAGCAGTGGCTCTAATTTCATTCTTCTGCATGTGGACATCCAGTTTTCACAACACCATTTGTTGAAGATGCTTTTTCCCTCCAGTGTGTTTTTGGTATCTTTGTTAAGGATGAAGTGACTGAAGTTATGTGTGCTCATGTTGGACTTCAGTTTAGCTCCATTGGTCTAGATGTCTGTTTTTGTGTCAATGCCGTATTGTTTTTATTACAGTGGTTCTGCAATCTATCTTAAGATAATGAATTGTAGCCTGGTGTGGTGGTACAGGCCTTTAATCCCAGCACTTGGAAGACAGCGGCAGGTGGATCTCTGAGTTAGAGGCCAGCCTGGTCTACAGAGTGAGTTCCAGGACAGCTAGAGCTACATAGTGAAACCCTGTTTCAAAAACCACACACATGCACAAAAGATCTGGAATTGTATCCCTACCATCCAGTGTTGTTCTTTTTGCTCAGGATTGTTTTAGCTATCTTGGCTCTATTGTGGTTCCTTAGGATAGCTTTTTTCTATTTCTGTGAAGAGTGAGATAGAGGTTTTTATTGGGATTACATTGAATCAGTAAAAAACTTTTGATAAATAGTTATTTTTATACAGTGTTAATACTACCAATCCATAAGCCTGGATTTTTGTTCCCATTTTCTAGTGTCTTCTCTCTCTCTTCAGAGGTTTAAAGTTTTTGTTATAGAGGTCCTCCACTTTGGTTGGGTTTATTCTTTGATATTTTATTTTCTTTGAGGCTATTATGAGTGGGAGTGTGTCTGTGATCTCCTGTCTGTGTGTTTGTTGTATAGAAAACTAAGTTATGCTTATCATTTCTGGTAGCATTTTTGGGATCTCTAATGTATAGTATCATATCATCTGCAATAGGGCTAACTTCTTCCTTATTTGTATCCCTTTCATTTCCTTCTCTTGCTTTCTTACTCCAACTAGTACTTCAGACACAATGTGGAAAAGGAGTAGAGACAGTGGACAGCCCTGTCTCGTTCCTGACTTCACCTGGATTGCTCCAAGCTTTTCTTTATTTAGAGTGATGTTGGTTGTGGGTTTCTCATATATGGCTCTGTATGTTAAGGTATGTCTCCTCTATCTCTACATTCTCTTGGACTTCTATCATGAAGGTATGTTGGGTTTTGTCAAAGGCTTTTTCTGCACCTGTTGATATGGTCATGTGATCTTTGTCTTTAAATCCATTTATGTGGTTTATTACATTTATTAACTAGCATGTGTTGAGCCACCCCACATTTCAGGTACAAAGCCAACTTGGTCATGGTGTATAATCTTTCCAGTATATGCCAGTATTCTGTTTGTGAATTTTTTTTTTTTTTGAGTATTTTTTTAGTCTACGTTCATTAGGGATATTGGCCTGTAGGTTTCTTTTTGTTGTTATATCTTTTTGGCTTTATATCTTTCTGGCTTGGGTGTTAGAGTGATGCCAGCTTCAAAATCCCTCCCTCCCCCTCCCTCCCTCCCTCCCTCCCTTCCTTTCTCCCTCCTTCCCTCTCTTTTAGTTTTAGGAAGGACTGACTGTAGATAGTCTGACTGTCTGGTAGAATTCTGCTGGAAATCCATCTGGTCCTGGACATGGTGCCCACATTTCCTGTGCGTTCTTTTCCTCTATGTGTATGTTCTCTTTTTCTTTTAATTTTTCAAGTTCCTTGTTTCTCCGGTGTGGATCCTCAGACTTTATCTTTAAGTCCAGATACTCTGTCTTCTGCTCGATTCATTCCACCTGAAGGCCTTCCTTTGAGTTTTGTAGCTGGGCTGTTTGTCAAGTCTGTCTTCACTTCAGCTTGAGTCCTCTTCAGTGTTTCTGTCTCCTGACAGAATTCTGCTCTCAATCTGGGACAGTCTTCCCCATTTCCCTCAGCCTTATGCTTGTGTTTCTTGAGCGTCACTCAGGTGTTTCTTCTACCAGACAGTCAGGTGTTTCTTCTCCTTATTTCATTGAGCTGCTTCTTTGTGTCTTCTTTAAACTCTTTGAATTCTTTGATGAAGTTTGTAATTGTTCTTTTCAGTTCTGTGTCCTGGAGTTCATCTAGGTAATTCTCAATGGCGAGCATTTCTACAAGGCTGGTGGGTTTGGAGCGGGGTTACTAGCCTGATCTTTCATATTGTTGGTGTACTTTCAACGAAGTCTGGGAATGTGGACTCCCAGCATTAGTTCAGGCTGAGCCCTCAAGGAAGACTTAGGAAGTGGGGGTGTGGAGTGGGATGGTGGAGGCAGCAGAGAAGGGGCCAGCCTAGACCCTGGAGGAGGACGTGGAAGTCTGAGTATGGAGTGAGGTGATTGAATGTATTCCTCTTTTAAAGATAAAGCCATTTTTTTTTTAAGATTTATTTATTATGTATACAGTGTTCTGTTTGCATGTGTCCCTGCAGGCCAGAAGAGGGAGCCAGATCTCATTACAGATGGTTGTGAGCCACCATACGGGTGCTAGGAATTGAACTTAGGACGTCTGGAAGAACAGACAGTGTTCTTAACCTCTGAGCCATCTCTGCAGCCCCAGATAAAGCCATTTTTATGGGTCTAGAGATGTAGCTTCGTTGGCAGAGTGCTTGCCTAGCATGCACAAAGCCCTGGGTTCAATCCCCAGTACCACATGACACCAGGCATGGTGATGAACACCTGTAATCTCAGCACCAGCACCTTGGAGGCAGAGGCAAGAGAATCAGAAGTTCAAGGTCACCCTCAACTACATAGGAAGTTCAGGATCAGCCTGGGCTACAAGAGACTGCCTCAAAACAAACACTTTTATATGAGACATGATTTATTAGGTGAAGTTATTAAATAAGGAAAAATTATCAGTTGTGGTATTTTAATTTCAATAACTTTTTCAAATTTCAGGGAGTTGGAAACTCAGCTGTTGGAACAATGTACTGTTGACACTGGTGCTGCTAAAGGACAGAGCCTCCCCTCAGTGATGGGTAACGCTGTTTAAATACATGCTGTAACTTCTGTTCTCATCTCTGCCCCCTCCCCACGTCACTCGTGACCCGGCTCCCATTATGAGTCGTTGTTGTTAATCCTGCTGTGTGTTAGTCATCTGTTCTAGAACTCTTGGTATCATCTTTTCCTCCTGAGCTCTCCTCCTTTATTTCTGAGTATTCTTCCTTGGTTTCTTCTGCTCTTCCTTTCTCTACTAGTGGTTCCATGGGAGACTTGGTTTTGTGTGGTTTATTTTCTACTGACTTTTAAGTAGATGTCATCTCTTCCTCTGACTGCGGTCACCTCTGCATGCTGTTGAGTCTCAGATGGAGCCTGGGTCTCATCTTTCTGAACTTGACACTCATGTATGTTTCCAAAGGATTGTTAGATATAAACTATGCACGTCTTAAAGCTTCAAAACCGGTACTCCCAGAAGTGAACACAGCATCTCTTCTCTTGTAATGTTTCAGTCATTGTTAGATAAAGGTAATAACTTCTTAGGGAAGAGGGGAAATGATATATTTTAATTTTTAAAAAATGCAATAGCATCTTCAAGACAGCCAAGGGTACACAGAGGAACCCTGACTCAAACACAAGCAAGAAAGGTACTAACATCGTCTCTGTTTCTCCTTTAGAAAACAGGGAGTTAGCAGCTCTTTCCCGTTCTTCCTCAGAAAGTCTTCCTAATCTCGCCGTTGTCTGTCCGCCTTCCTGGCTCTGCTCTGGGAGGCAGAGCCACTGTAACTCAGCCTCTGCTGTCTCTTGCTGGTTTTCTTGTGGCCTGTGCTTTACAGATTTGGTGTGTTTCCTACTGCTGTGAGACAGAACTGTCCCCTAAATTGGTGAGGAGGTTTGGGGCTCCTATAGATTAACCCACATTTCATATCTGCCACACATTTCTCCATAATCTCATTCTAGTCTCCCTCTTAGCCTTACCTCGACCTCTTTTACTCCTTATTTCAGCTAGAAATGTGGTCTTCCGATCACCGAGAGTACTTATTTGCACAGCCTTCTGTCTTTATCTTAGTTTTTGACCTCAGAGCTGCCTCCCACCCCTACACACACTGCTTAGGGTTTTATTCCCGGTACATGACCCAGCTGGAATGTTGACTCCCGTAAGGTTTTTCTTGTTTTCCCTAAGCAGCGTAGGTTGTTCCTCTAGTAAACCCTCATAGGATATGTTCCATAACTGTTTCCAACATGGACTTGGAGGGTCCTGGTCTTTTTTTTTTTTTTGAGAGCATCTAGTGCCAAAAGTATGTTGGAAAGAAAAATATGCACTTTTAGGGGCAGTTAGCCTTGCTTTTCCTCGTTTCTTACAATTCTTTCTTGATAGTTAAGATGATAGTAATTTTCATTTGATTATAGAACTCTAATTAGTTTTTCTTTAGCAAATAAATTTTGTTACTATCTTAGTATATCATTGATGACAGTTACATTATGAAAAATCTCCAAAGATAGTAAGTTAAGTATATCATTCCAGAATGTTTTTTAAAGCTATTACTTTAAACTGACCTTAAGCCAGGCACGGTTGCACTCACTTGCATTTGAACTAGTCCAGGCAACAACATATGGAGGCCCTGACTGGGTTGGGGGTGGAGGCTCTAACTGTAATGTTAGGAACTCTACATTCTCGGGATTACTCTCCATAGTGAACCTTCTTTGACTTATTCTAATCTTTCCTGACTATACCCCTCAGAATTCTAATCATACTTCTGACATTGAGAAGTCAGAACAACCATTGTTTCCTGAATTCCTCTCGGGACAACCAGAGCTGTAAACAAATTTAAAGTGCTCTCCCTGAAGTCCTTAGCAATGCTTAGATGAAATCTTTGGTCTGCTGGAGATCCTCAAATGGATTTTTTTTTTTTTTTTGA